GTCATCGCAGTAAGGTCGCGTTTTTCCTTAGCGCTTCGAACGGCGCAAATTAGTCTTCGCACTTATGTCTCCGCGGATAAGGGCTTCACGGATTTGTGGTGGAACCATTATTTTTGGGGAAACATGGTATATAATTTGTTTAATGCCCTTTTAAAGTCATTGGTTACGAGTCTCTTTACCAATTTTAATTTTTAAGCAGCTAAGGAAGGTTGTTTCTTTGAAGATCCCAGTCTTGGAGATGGTTCAGTTAGGTAACATCAACAAGATGGTAAAGAAAAGTGCTCTTCAATTTTAAACAGTGCATGGCTAGCTGGGGAATTCTGGGAGTTCAAGTCCGCTCATCTTAAAGTTGCTAAGTTGGAGAAACCCTGCCCTAAAGGATGCACTCTACTATTTGGGCAACCACAGTGAGGAGTTGGGAGGTCATCATGAGGGCTCATAATATCATCACACGAATTGCATGTTGACTTTTGAATGACAGTGTCATGAAATATGTGAGGTCATCATGGTTTCTACCAGATGGTATAGGAAGCAACCAAGCAAGGAACTAACGACTCTGCCATCAAAATGTATCCATCTCTTGTACTGTTGGAGCCTAGTCTCTTTCTGCAGGTTGTGTTACTGAGCAACTGGTCTCTCCACAGGTTCTCCAGTGGGCCAAAGGACACCTCAGATATGGTGTCCTTCATATTCATGGTTTGTACACTGATCCCTGCGGAATGGTGCTGGATCCCTCAGGATATCAGGAAGTGACCCAAGACCCTGAAGTGATGGTATGTGGATTCAAAGGATGGGCAAGCTTTTTTGTTGAGGAGCTGTGGTGGCATAATGGTTAGAACAGGGGTCGGTAATCTTAAACACTCAAAGAGCCACAAAGGTCCTAACCGGAACCCCCCTGTTCAATTCTAGATCTGACCAGAAGTCTGGTTCCTCATAGAGTCTCCTCCTGGCATGGCATCCTTTTCCCCCTACCTATCCTAACCGAAAGCCCTAACTGAAGCTGACCAGTGACAGGGAACTGCGGCAGAGGGATGAAAGAGCCGCATGCGGCTCCAGAGCCGCAGGTTGCTAACTCCTGGGTTAGAAGTATTGCAATAGAACTCTGCTGGTTGCTAGCAGTTCGATCCTGACCAGCTCAAAGTTGACTTTCATCCTTCTGAGATCAATAAAAAGAGGGCCCAGATTGTTGGGGGCAATATGCTAATATTGTAAAACTCTCAGAGAGTGCATTAAAGTATTACAGAATGGTATAGAAGTCCAAGTGCTAATGTTATGGATGTTGTTATTGTTGAACTATGCTGCCTTATAGATCAGCAGTACCTCAAAAGTACCCTGAGAAGAATTGGATATAGTTGATGGATTTCGTTTGTGTGTCCTCTTAGGACAGGATGTCAAACTCAATTTCACTGAGGGCCACATCAGGGTTGTGTTTGACCTTGGTGGGGGGGGCTGGGATGAGAGTGGCCATCTTGGTNGAAGGAAGAAAGGAAGATGGATGTTAGAAAGAGACAGGAAGGAACGCAGATAGATGGGAAGGAAAGAAGGAAGACGGGAGGGAGGGAAGGTGGATGTTAGAAAGAGACAGGAAGGAAGAAAGATGGGAGGAAGAAAGAGGGAAGGAAAGAGATGAATGGGAGAAAGAGAGATGCACAGAAAGGAAGGAAGCTCCATCTGTGGCACACCAAAAGACGAATCCACTTGTTACTCCACCTGCTTTCTCTCTGGTCCAGCCCAGGGCAGGAGGGGCAGAGCAACCCTCTCCGTTGTCCATGCAAAAATTATTCTAACATTCCCCCTGGAAGAGAGAGGGAAAGCAAGCAGCCCAGCCAGCCCCTCAACACCAGCGTTGCTGTTTCAAGCCTGTCACCCAACTAAGGGGGCACAGGAGGAGAGGGGTGGCATGGTGGGGGGGGAAGAGAAGGGCAAACACACCATTTAAATTCAAGGGGCTGAACGGATACAAGATTAGTGGCATCCTATGAAATTGGGCTCCCTTAATTACCTTCGGAATATCAGTCCTGCCAAGCAAAGCAGAGGGAAAATGGAGATAAATCCACACCCAAGCTGCCTACCGCTTCATCTTTTAAAGGCAATTAACTCTTAGTTATTAGCTTTTAATTAGGGAATAATAATGACACCATTAATACAGTTTATTAAACTTGTCAGGAGGCAGCTGTTCCAAACAGATTTTGTTATCAGATCCTGGCAGATTTTTTTTTTCTTTGGGGGTGGGGAAGAATGTCGGTGCTTACTTCAATTTATAGCGATTTAATTTATAGAAGGGAGGGAGGGAGGGAGGGAGAGGGAAGATGGAGGGGCCGCCCGGAGGGATTGGGACGCCGGAGGGGGCGGCGACGGGAAGCACGAAGAACGCAAAAGAGAGCTTGATGGAAAGGTAAAGCGAAGGAGNTCTCTAAGCAGTTTACAGAGTCAGCATATTGCCCCCAACAATCTGGGTCCTCATTTTATCCACCTCGGAAGGATGGAAGGCTGAGTCAACCTTGATCCGGTCAGGATCAAACTGCTGGGAGTCAACAGAGTTTGCCTGCAATGCTGCATTCTAACCACTGCGCCACCTTGACATATTAGTGGAGTTTTGCTCTTCTCATGACCTGGAGAAAAAGTGGAATAAAAAGACTAGGATATGTGGCAAGTGATGGAACTCATTCACTTATGAAAGGAACTCAGGAAACACAGTGTTCCTGGAAAGGGGAGAGACTGGGAGAGAAATGGCTATGGTAGAGACTGGTTGAAGCCAAAAGGAAGGTGATGCGACTATCACTTTTAGCACTTGCCAAAAATCAGTTCTGTTCATACAAGAAGGCTGTTGACTTGTTCAGGTCCAGGTGCTACTTCTTGATTTTGCATGTTTGAAACGGGAGCAGTTTACACTGTTGTACCTAATGACAAGGGACACGGTGGCTCAGTGCCTAAGCTTGTCGATCGAAAGGTCGGGAGTTCAGTGGTTCGAATCCCTAGTGCCACGTAATGGGGTGAGTTCCATTAATTGTCCAGGCTTCTGCCAACCTAGCAGTTCGAAAGCATGTAAAAATGCAAGTAGAAAAATAGGGACCACCTTTGGTGGGAAGATAACAGTGTTCCGTACACCTTCGGCCTTTAATCATGCTGGCCATATGACCACAGAGACGTCATCGGGCAGCGCTGGCTCTTAGGCTTTGAAAAAGAGATTAACACTGCCCCCTAGAGTCGGGAACGACTAACACATATGTATGAGGGGGAACCTTTACCTTACCTAATGACAATTTCAGGCTGTTTCATTTATGATGGACACAAGGTAAAAGCACTACGGTGGGGCCATTGAGAAAAAAATGATGTTAACAGCACATGGTGATGCCGTGGAGATTCATGACCAGCACTGAGTCCTATGAAGGCTCTTTTATAGCTCCAGTCAGTTTACATCCTGATTCTGTGTAGCCCTAAAGAGTAGAAATTACTATTAAACCTGTCTAGGTGTACAGTTCATGATAGCGTTCAAACATTGGGCAAATAAACAAGGTTGTTAACTTAGATTGCTGAATAAGCCACAGTCAGTCTGGTTCCACATCATACAAAGCCATAGATGATTGCCTATAATCTCTTCTGGCTTGAGTTTACCTATTTCATTTAAGCTTTGATGAGGTTAGTTTGCTCAGCATAATGTATGAACTGGCTATAGATGCCTCACTTAAAGGTTGCATGAGAAAAATAGCAAAGATTGTTGATTTAACTGGATACGGAGGAGCCAAGAAATTACTGATTACACAGCAGCTTCACAGGGAAGCAGAATTTATGAATCTGCTGGTGCCATATTGAAGGAAAGCCCTCCTTGGATAAAGCATTTAAGTTGGTTCTGTATTTGCTGTTGCCAAGAATTTAATAGACTGCTGGGGTGGGTAGGTAAAAGGAATGCATTGTATCAGCCAATCTGTAGGGAATATACAACTTCTGAATGCTATGCTACTGTTAGAGCTGCATCTAAAGAGCAACTAAGGGGGACGCCAGAATGAAAGAGCTGAGCAGCAGATCCAAGCTTCCATTGTTGCATCAAAGAAAGTTCCAGCCCAAACAGGAAGCCTTTGAGAGCGCTTCCTGTCTAGGATGGAGCCTCGATTGTGTTTGGCGACACCGCAGTGGAGTTAATAAATAGATCAGCAAAAATAGAGGGTCCAAATCTGGTACCTGAGAACATTTTGTTGCCAGAGAGATACTTTAAATAATATTCATAGTATCTCACCCCCTCCCCTTCCAGGTCGATTCTGTAGAGTACCACCAATACTTCCTGGTTCCACCACCAAGGCTATTTCCATGTGTGGCACGACAAAACTGTGCTGGTCAAAATCGCGGAGACATAAGCGCGTCGCTAAAGCCGCGACGTCATCACCGCGCATCATCACCGCCGCGACAACAGCACGGCAACAGAAGGGCGCTTTAAAACGGTGCCGTGGCAGAAAGCCGACTTCAATTAAGGTAAGGGTTAGGATTAGGTTTAGGGGGTTGTTTTAGGGTTAGGGTTAGGGTTAGGGTTAGGTTTAGGGTTAGGTTTAGGGTTAGGTTTAGGGTTAGGTTTAGGGTTAGGTTTAGG